TCCTGCAAATATGTAGCTCCAAGTTTAAAATAGTATCTTTTTACATCATGAAAGTGTTGTACTGAATCATCGTATTACATAACGTGTTCCTATAATAACTCAAAACCCATTATCAGCAATTCTGCCATGATGGAATCAGTCAGTCCATCTACTTGAAAAAGGCCTTTAAGGCAGAAAACAAACTTCCTCTAGGTTATGCTGTTGTGTGACTGGTAAGACAAGGTTCCCATGGTGGACTGAAGTGAAAACATTCACACTTTCCACTCAGATCATCAACACCTTTGCTATGACAAGCTTTCATCTCTGCAGGCAGCGCCCTCACCAATTACGTACTCAGTCAGTAGCTGAATTATTTATCAAATACAAAAGCTATCCCAGAAAGTACTGCGCAGTCAGCAACGGAAAGGATTCTAACCACGAACGAAGAGATTTATAAAACAACACCAAGCAATCGTGAGGGGTACTATGCAAGTGATCCTCAGCAAGTTTCTGGCTTAGAGTACTGAAGAGCTCAGTTGGTAATTGAGCCAGATGACAAGAATGCAACACAAGTTGAGAGGGTGGCATTGAGGCTATTAAGGTCCTGTAGTCATTATCTGTATCTGCTGCTACGAGAGACTGATGGCATCCCAAGCAGTGCAGGGGGAGGCAATGGTCGAGTGGTATTATCACTGGACTGTTAATCCAGAAATCTAGATAATGTTCTGGGGGCCCAGGTTCAAAACCTACCATGGCTGATGGTGGAATCTGAATTCAATAAATATCTGGAATTAAGAATTTAATGATGACCACAAATCCATCGTTGATTCTCGGAAAAGAACCATCTAGTTCACTAAAAGCCTTTAGGGAAGGAAACTGTCATCCTTACCTGGTAAGGCCTACATGTGACTCCAGACCCACAGCAAGGCCAGAAAAGATGGCTGAGCTATCATGAAAACTAGCAAACACAAAGCTGAGAATTATATTATAAAGGTATGCTGACAACTTCATATTTGACAACATTTCTTTATAACCAAGATGAGCTCTTGCTTGCACACAAGCCCATAAGATGCAGGGACAGACGGCCTTATGGCCCACTGAGACCATTCCACCATTAAATGAGATCATGACTGATCTGACAATCCTCAACTCCACTTTCCTGCCTTATCCCATAAACCTGGACTGCCTTAATAGTTAGAAATATGTCCACCTCAACCTTAAAAAAAAAACTTAATGACTCAGCTTCTATACTTCTCTGCAGCAAAGAATTCCATAGGCTCACTACCTTAAGGAAACAAAATTCCTCATCTGTCCTAAATGGGCAGCCAATATACTGCTATCGTACCCTCTGGCCCTAGGTTCTCCCACAGGGGGAAACAACCTTTCCACATCTACCTTGTCAAGCTTTCTAAGAATACTTCATGTTTCAATATAGTCACCTCTCCTTGTTCTAAACTCCAATCTACTCAACCTCTCCTTACAAAACAGACCCTCTATATCTGGGATCAGCCTACAGAAACTTCTGTGGACTGTTTCTAATGTCATTACATCTTTCCTTAGCTGAAAAGGGACCAAAAAACTGTTCAGTACTCCAATTACGGTCTGACTGATGTCTTGCACAGCTTTAGTAAAACCTCTTCATTTTTCTATTCTATCCCCTTTGAACAGAAAGGAGAGCCAGCATTTCAGTGGTGTTCCCTGCTGCCTGCTAAACTTGGATGCTAGCTTTTTATTATTCATGCACTTGGACCACCTAATCACACTCGGCTGTCCCTTTCTACAATCGTTCCTTATTTCAACAATATTCAGCTCCCAAAGTACATCACCCCACATTATATTCTGCCAAGATTTTGCCTACTCACTTAACTTGTCTATTTCCCTTTGAAGACTCCTTATGTCCATCCTAACACATATTTGCCTTCCCACCAATTGAGAAGGCATCTTCAAACTTGGTAATAATACATTCACTTTTCTCATTCAAGTCATTAATATGATACTATAATTAATTGTGGTCCAAGCACTGAAACCTGTGACACTCAGTTACCAGTTGCCATCCTGCAAATGCCCCCTTTATCCCAACTCTGTCTTCTATTAGTTAGCCAATCCTCTATCCAAGCAAATACATTACTGACAACACCATGGTCTCTTATAATATTAAAGAGCTTCAAGTGCAGTACTTTAGCAAATGTCTTACAGAAATTCAAAACAGATCACATCCTTTTATCTACACCGCTTGTTCCCTCCTCAAAAGAATTGTAATAAATTTTATTAGGCACGATTTCCCTTTCATGAAACCATGCTGACTGAAGAGTTCTGGAGAAAGGGTCACCAAACCCGAAACATTAACTTTGAGTTGTTTCTTCACAGATGCCGCCAGACCTGCTGGGCTGTTCCTGCAACTTTTTTTTGTTCCTGATTGACAGCATCTGCAGTTCTTTGTTTTTATTTAGCAGACTCAAGAGTGGTCATTTTTCACCACAGTAGTCAAAGACCAATATGCTGATGTAAAACTAACACCCTCATAACATTCCTCTGCCCATTATTTAATGGGGGCATTAACAATTTAATTTATATGGGTTATTGGAACCATTAAAATAATGGTCAGGGAGTAACAAATGTAGGACTGTATTCTGAATAACAATAGCAAATGAATAATTTCTAATATAATGGTGAGAAGTTTCAAAACAGTATTTCAAATGGATGTAACAAGTAGCTCAGCATCTAAAGATCAAAAAAGGAAAAGAAAAGTTTGAGCTTACTGCTTCATGCCAGTACACACACATCCATTCTGAAACTTAAAAAGTTTTTGAAAATAATTACAATCAGCATTGCCTCAATCCAAGTTAATGCCTACATTCTGCAGGGCTGTACCAGGTTTCAAGATATGACTGGATATCCTAATGAGACAATATAATTCTATAAATAGAGAATAACCAGTCAGTTAGACTATTACCTGACCATGTTGTAAATGTTCACATTTCAATAATGATTATTGGCTATACTGAACATAAGTTTGACAAGTTATGCCCCTTTCTGCTTTCAATGAGTTATCTTCATACATCATCAGCTCTTCATCTACAGCTGCTTTGAAGTGGGTCAGATATATCAATTTCAATGTAGAAGACAAAGCTTCTCTAACGTTTTACCGACTGTGACCCCATTTTAAGGCTTAATTGTCATGACGCCCTCCGTGAAAATGGAGAACACAGTGCAGAAGATGTGAGCCACTGTGCAGAAGGTCACGAGGGCAGGGCTCCACAGTGGCCATTGCTTCCTCACAGCTCGCAACCCTGCTTGGGGTCCTGATCCCTACCTTGGGAAGCCCTACAATGAGATCATAACAGAGGTAGGAGCAGCAAGACCATTTGACGCATTGACCCTTCTCAGCCATTTAATACAACCATGCATGATGTCATTTCACCTCAAAATGCTAGTTCTTGCAGAGTCCCCAGCGTTCTCTGAGGAAGCAGGTTCACAGATTGTGTATAATCTCTTATCTGAGGATCACACTGTTTTAAAAAGGGAGAATACAGTGTGGAACTGGAGGAACACAGGAGGCCAGACAGCATCAGAGGAGCAGGAAAGTTGATGTATCAGGTCAAGACCCTTCCTCAGAATTCCCGATGCTGCCCAGCCTGCTGTGTTCTTCCAGCTCCACACTGATCTCTGACTGTAGCATCTGCAGTTCTTACTATCTCTGTTTTAACAGGGAGATTTTTCTTTTTAAAAACATACTGTGCCTCCTAGTTCAAGATTCCCAAGCAAAAAGGAAATATCCTTGAGATCGACCTGAACCTGTCAGGATTCGAGGATTTGATTTGCCAAGCCCCTCAGAATCTTCTGTTTCAACAGAATATACAATTGTTCTCAACAGCAATGTGTATAGGGCCAAGTTACAAAACACTTCCACATAAAACAACCGATTCATGCAGGACGTTCATGCAGGAATCAGCCTAGCAAACCTTTAAACTGCTTTCAACAGTCAAAATTTTCATGCATGAACCAAAACATAACACATTGTGCTTGCAGCTATCTTTACTATACTATTCAAGGTTGCAGAAGTAATTCCAATTATCAAATATTTTGCCATAACATTTCATAGCAAATAAATTGTTCCAACGTACTTGCTGTAAAACATACGCTAAAACATAAGCGCACATAACAGCAGCTTTGTTACTTTACACTGGTCCACCGGACATTAGGCTAATTAAAACCAGTCCTTGTCTCAAAACATCAACAATCATGACAGCAGTGACACCATAATTTTTTTGAAAGAAAAATTGAAAATAAAGAAGCATAACAAGGAAAAAGAAAATCCTGTTTCTTCAGGTTTTTATGTCTAAACCTATAAATCCTGCCTTTCGGAATTTACAACTCCCGAGTTATATGCCATTCTTCAAATTCGCTGCTGCTTGACAAATACCAGAGAAGGTTTAACGTGTACTTGTGTTTTCAACATTCACAGAAAGACCTTCACAGAAAGACGTGTGTGTACACGATTGCAGCGGAGTTAGTATCAGTTGTATGTACTGGAGAAGCACGGAAACAAGAAATGAAACGATAGCAAGCTATATAATCCATGGCGTATTCGTTATGTGCAAGTGCCAGTTCTGTATCAAATTAAATATAAACACAGCAAGCAGCATGTATCTAATATGTATATATGTGCAGTCACTAAAATTTGAAGAGATCCGAATATAAATTCATGCAACATTGAAGAAACATTTGCACAAAAAGCTACTTGCTGCTTTGCAACATGAAACATTTCGCCAAGCAATGCGCAAAACAATGATTTTTATTTATTTGATTGCGAACTACTTAAATCAATCATCTCTTTAAAAAAATGATAAGAAAATTGCCATGGTGCATTTTACTGCAGGATCCCGGTGGGTGGATCACTCCTTCTCCAGGGAGCTGGGTTCCACACCCAGTGATGGCTACTCACGCAGGTACTTGTCAAATACCCAGACATTATATATAGATCCAGCAAATAAGGCGAACACGCAAATTATAAACTTTACCTCCCCAAATTCCTAATTGCAACTGCGAGGTATCCAAGTTCACCACATAATCCCCCAAAAAACGGTTCAAAACCTCGACCACTAAAGACTCGAACACCATCGTCTTCCGATCACCATTCTCGGCCCGGCTGGGCCGCCTCCGCCTCCGCCGCCGCTGCTAACCAGCACGAACGCCAAGCGCCAGAACCAAACCAAACGATTCAAATGAAAACGATCGCGCAGCGAACCGGAACTGGCGCGAGCAGCGCTGCCTCGTTCTCTTCCAGAGCGACGCCCTCACTGCTCCAACGACAACTCTCCGAACTCATCGGAAAAAGAATGCACGCTCACGTTGAGCGCGCTCACTTCTGACCTCCGCCTTTAGCTTGCTTCCGCAGTTGCGGGTGCCCGTCGGTGTAGGCAGAACCACGGCTGGATTTAGTGCAGTAAAGAGGAGTTTTTCTTCATAGTGGCGAGCTTCAGTTATTTTTAAATATAACACTCTACCGGAATCCTGGTCATCGGGAGGGGTTATTAAAAAACAAGAAATACTTATTGACAGTTTTAATTTTGATCAGTGAGTTACGAGGGCAGTTGATTTGACAGGCCCCAACGTGATAAAACTACGTTGAGGTATTTATACAAATAATTCGTGAATGTGTTCATGACTTATTTTAAATCAAACAATGAATTTTCAAATAATACGGTAATATTTGTGTGGGAAATTAACTGGTCGGAATCTAAGCAAGCTGAATGAGATATGTTGCTTTTTTTGGTAAAAAGAAAACAGCTGGAACGTACATAACGGACCTTGTGAAATTGTCTTCTTGCTTTTCAAAGGACTGCATCGTGAACGTCCAAAAGGCACATTGTAGATCGCCCCTGGATTACACTATTTCATAATATTGGGTAGCACAGGAACACACTTAATTCTAGTTAGTATAATTAAAATTATAGTTGAAGTCATTATCTTCATGTTGTTTACAGGAGTGGGCTGGAAGTGTAGGATAGAGCAGCAAGAGTTAGCCTGCACCTCTTCTCTTAACTGGTGCCAATCTCCTGCCTTTTCCCCATATCCCGACACACCATTTCTATCCAGATAATCATCGGATGTCCTCTTGAAGGCCTCAATTGAACCTACCTCCACCACATTTCCCAGTAAACTCACTGTGTAACTTTTTTCCCCACATCACTCTTGCTTCATTTGCACATCACTTTAAATCTAATAGAACATTACAGCGCAGTACAGGCCCTTCGGCCCTCGATGTTGCGCCGACCTGTGAAACCAATCTGAAGCCCATCTAACCTAAACTATTCCATTATCATCCATATGTTTATCCAATGACCATTTAAATGCCCTTAAAGTGGGCGAGTCTACTATTTTTGCAGGCAGGGCATTCCACGCCCTTACTACTCTCTGAGTAAAGAACCTACCTCTGACATCTGTCCTATATCTATCACCCCTCAATTTAAAGCTATGTCCCCTCGTGCTAGTCATCACCATCCGAGGAAAAAGGCTCCCACTGTCCACCCTATCTAATCCTCTGATCATCTTGTATGTCTCTATCAAGTCACCTCTTAACCTTCTCTCTAACGAAAACAGCCTCAAGACCCTCAGCCTTTCCTCATAAGACCTTCCCTCCATACCAGGCAACATCCTGGTAAATCTCCTCTGCACCCTTTCCAATGCTTCCACATCCTTTCTATAATGCGGTGACCAGAACTGTACGCAATACTCCAAGTGCGGCCGCACCAGAGTTTTGTACAGCTGCAACATGACCTCATGGCTCCGAAACTCAATCCCTCTACCAATAAAACCTAACATACTGTACGCCTTCTTAACAACGCTATCAACCTGGGTGGCAACTTTCAGTGATCTATGCACATGGACACCGAGATCTTTCTGCTCATCCACACTACCAAGAATCTTACCATTAGCCCAGTACTCTGTATTCCTGTTATTCCTTCCAAAGTGAATCACCTCACACTTTTCCGCATTAAACTCCATTTGCCACCTCTCAGCCCAGCTCTGCAGCTTATCTATGTCCCTCTGTAACCTGCAACATCCTTCCGCACTATCCACAACTCCACCGACTTTGGTGTCATCCGCAAATTTACTAACCCATCCTTCTACGCCCTCATCCAGGTCATTTATAAAAATGACAAACAGCAGTGGCCCCAAAACAGATCCTTGAGGTACACCACTAGTAACTGAACTCCAGGATGAACATTTCCCATCAACCACCACCCTCTGTCTTCTTACAGCTCGCCAATTTCTGATCCAACCTTACAGCTAGCCAATTTCTGATCCTACTGATTTCTACTTGTTTTACAAGTAGGAGTAGCTTCTCTCTTCAGAAGGCTTAGCTTTCCCGCCACAGATGCTGCCACACCTACTGAGTTTCTCCAACAATTTCTGTTTGTTAAGCAAAGGTACCATAGATCATAAGGCTGCTCTGTCATTAGCGAGAGATGCCCGGTTTAACCTAAGGGTCACCATATCTCAGGTAAGGGGTGAAATTGAGAAGGAGAGACCTTCATGGTAACCTCAGCCAGTGTTGGAAGTGAACCTACACTATTGACTTTACTCTGTATTGCAAACCAGCTATCCAACCGAATGAGCTTTCCTAGTGATGGATAGATGCAAGGCTTGCCAGGGCAGGATCTGAATGCACTTCACTCCTCATAAGGCCAGGCACAATTTGAGTCATGGTCAGAGACTCTCTTTGAAGTACATGATTGTTCTCCAATGTAAGTGCAGTCTTGGACCCACATTGCACATCCTTAGTTTCCATTCTTTTACCCCTTTTTGTCAGTCCATGAAATTTCACTGAGGGGGAAATAGTAATAAGTAACATAGTGATAATGTTGCTGAACTAGCAATCCAGAAGCCCAGGATGATGGGCCTCCAGATTATCCTGCTGTGATGGCTAGTGGATTTTAAACTAATTAACAAAAAAGTTCTGGAATTGAAACCTAGTCTTTCAGTGAAACTATAATCAATTGTCATAAAAACCCATCTGGTTCATTAACATCCTTTAGTCCAGAACAAAACAACGTGGTCAATTAACTATCCTCTGAAATAGCCTGTCAAGCAAATTTGTTCAAGTGGCAATCAGGGATAGGCAACAAATGTTGGCCTTGGGAAGGTGATCACACAGTGTCATTGGAGTTTAATCCAGAACTCCCAGCTAATTTTCTGGGCAAATAGTTTCAAATACCATCATGGTAGAATTTGGTTTTAATAAAAATATGAAATTGTAAATCGGCTGGTGGTGGCTGTGTAACTAATGTTGATTGTCATAACAATCCATCTGGTTTACTAATATTGTTTAGGGCATGAAATCTGCCATCCTTACCTGGTCTGGCCTATATGTGACTCCAGACCCACTGTAATGTGGTTGACAAGGAACTGTTAACAATTTGAGATGGGCAACAAATGCTAGACTAACCATGAATGAATAAAACAAAACATTCAAGGCAAATTCTCTGCATGAGCAGCTCATGCCAATGCAGTTGTCAACTTCCAACTTGCTTGCTCTGGTCAGATCCTCTGCAGCATTTCATCAATCACTACGTGATTCCTTTCATTATTTAAAAAAAACTTCAGCTACAATATTCATGACTGTGGTGTTGATGTTTTCACACAAATCTCTCAACCAGTCATTAGCTGATTCCTTTTCATTATCAGTCAGGAAATTAGTCATTGCCCAAGTCTGCAGGCTCACCATTTCTATGTGACTGTCTATAAACATCCCGTTGTTCTTGGTAGGTGTAACTGTAGAAAGATTAAATCTAGTTTCCATGTCTATAAAGTGTAGTACTAAAGTTTTTCTTTCATTTTCCTATACCTTTAGATCAGCGGCGACTATTTCAGAAAAGTTACATGCCAATGGCAAGCATAAATTGATGTGATGTCATCCTCCTTTGTACACTAATCTCTTCTATAAGCCTCATATAAATACTTCTAATCAATCTGATCAGATATGTTTTGACACACATTTGGAGCAGTTGTAACTTGAAACCAGGCCTCTTCTGCCACAAGAGCCCCAGTAATTAAACTGGTAGGCATTTGTTTTAAAGTAGTTTTCTGAACCATAATCGGCAGGTTTCAAATAAACATGGGCTTGTCCCCAATGAATTTCAAACCCACTGCCTTAACTACTTGCCCACAACTAGGCATTATGAGCCTCATATACTCCATCATCCTGCGTGCATCTCATGACAGAATTTCTAATAATTGATAAAAAGAGTGAAGAAATTGTCTGTGTAACTTTAAGACAATTTGCTTTTTATTTACATGATTTTTTCCATCAGATGCTACTAATAGTCCGGTAACACTCTGAGTTATAGGGGAGTGCAATAATGCCTTAATTGAATAACTTGCAGATTTACTGTGTTTCTAAAAGCAAATGCTTTGTCATGCTCCATGCACAGTTTCAGTTGTTCACAGAACAGCATTTCTCTGTGGATTTCCCTCTTGACTTGGAGAGGATTCTGCACTCCAATGACCCCTTGAACGATACCATCAGGAGCTGTTTAATTGTGATAGGGCCTCTCATAAGAACAGGAACAGGCCATTCAACCCCTTGTGTTAGTTCTTCCATTCAATCAGATCATGTCTGACCTGTGGCCTAACTCTATATTACCTGCCTTTGGTCCATATCCTTCAGTATCTTTGGTTAACAAAAAAAAATCTATCTCAGATTTAAAACTAACAACTGTTCTACTATCAACTGCCATTTGTCAAAGAGAGTTCCAAATTTCTACCGTCCTTTATGTGTATAAGTTCTTCCTAACCTCTCTGCCTCCAAGGCCAATATATCCTTTCTAAGATGAAGTTCCCACATTCTGTTCACAGTACTCCCAAGTGGGATCTGACCAGATTTTTATATAGCTACAGCATAAGTTCTGCTTCCTTATACTCCAGTTCTCTAAATAAAAAGTCCAGCATTCCATTAGTCATCTTGATTAATTTCTGCACCTATTTGTGGCATTTTAGTGATCTATGCAGTTGAACCCCAAGTCATACAGTCATACAGCATGGAAACAGATCCTTTGGTCCAACTGGTCCATGCCAACCATGTTCCCAAACTAAATTAGTCCCACCTGCCTGCACTTAGCCTATAATCCCTCGAAAGCTTTTCAATTCATGAACTTATCCAAATGTCTTTTAAACATTGTAACTGTACTTGCATCCACCACTTTCTCTGGCAGTTCATTCCACACATGAACAACTTACTGTGTGAAAAAGTTGCCCCTCATGTCCTTTTTAAATTTTTCTCCTCTCATTAACAATTTGCCCCCCAGTTTTGAACTCCCCCACTCTAGGGAAAAGACTCTTGTCACTTACCTTATCTATTGTCCCTCATGATTTTATAAAGCTAATTAAGGTCATCCCTCATTCGCCTATGCTCCAGTGAAAAATGTCCCAGTCTTTCTATTTTGTTTTTATATCGCAAACCCTCCATTCCCAGCAACATCCTGGTAAATCTTTTCTGA